CGCTCACCTGGGCATCTCCCTGTGCTCACCTGGCAGCTCCTCCGCTCACCTGGCAGCTCCTGTGCTCACCTGGCAGCTCCTCCGCTCCCCCGTGCAGGTCCCTTTGTTCCCTTGTGCAAACCCGGCCCTGGCGGGGCTCTGGGAGGCCCCGGGAAAAGGAGGAGCTGGGTGGTGATGCAATCGGGGCAGCGCTGGGCACAGAGCCTGCCCCGAGCCCGGAGCAGAGCCCGGAGCAGAGCCGGGAGCAGAGCTCCAAGCCTGGAGCAGAGCCCTGAGCCCGGAGCAGAGCCCGGAGCAGAGTCTGGAGCCCGGAGCAGAGCCTGGAGCCAGCCCAGAGCAGAGCCGGGATCAGAGCCCGGAGCAGAGCCCAGAGCAGAGCTCCAAGCCCGGAGCAGAGCTCAGAGCAGAGCTCCAAGCCCGGAGCAGAGCCGGGATCAGAGCCCGGAGCAGAGCCCTGAGCCGGGAGCAGAGCCGGGATCAGAGCCCGGAGCAGAGCCAGAGCAGAGCTCCAAGCCCGGAGCAGAGCCCAGAGCCATCCCCGAGTCAGCCCCGAGCGCTGCAGCTGCTCCCAAGGGAGGGAATGTCCCGTGGGGAGAGCAGGAGTGAGTGTGGGGCTGGGAGAGTGTGGGGTCGAGTATGGGACTGGGAGACAGAATGGGATTGTGTGGGACTGGGAATGAGTGTGGGATCGTGTGGGATTGTATGGGATTGGGAATGAGTGTGGGATTGTGTGGGATTGGGAATGAGTGTGGGATTGTGTGGGATTGGGAATGAGTGTGGGATTTTGTGGGACTGGGAGAGAGTGGGATTGAGAATGGGATTGTATGGGATTGGGAGAGTGTGGGGCTGGGAGAGTGTGGGATTGTGTGGGACTGGGAAAGAGTGTGGGATTGTGTGGGGGAGAGAATGGGATTGTGTGGGATTGGGAATGAGTGTGGGATTGTGTGGGACTGGGAGAGTGTGGGATCAAGTATGGGATTGGGAGACAGTGTGGAATTTGGTGGGATTGTATGGGATTGGGAGTGAATGTGGGGTTGTGTGGGGCTGGGAGTGAGTGTGGGGCTGTGTGGAGCTGTTTGGGATTGTTTGGAATTGTTTGGGGTTGTTTTGGGGTTGTTTGGGGTTGTTTGGGGCTGTGTGGAGCTGTTTGGGGTTGTTTGGGATTGTTTGGGGCTGTGTGGGGCTGTCTGGGGTTGTGTGGAGCTGTTTGGGGTTGTTTGGGGTTGTGTGGAGCTGTTTGGGGTTGTTTGGGGTTGTGTGGAGCTGTTTGGGGTTGTTTGGAAATGTTTGGGGTTCTGTGGAGCTGTGTGGAGCTCTTTGGGGTTGTTTGGGGTTGTTTGAGGTTCTGTGGGATTGTTTGGGGTTGTTTTGGGGTTGTTTTGGGGTTGTTTTGGGGTTGTTTGGGGTTGTTTGGGGCTGTGTGGAGCTCTTTGGGGTCCTGTGGGGCTGGGAGCCAGCACAGGATTGAGTTTTGCTGGCAGTGGTGGGGGGAGAAAGGGGAATTTGGGAGTGTGGGGGCGTGGGGTGACCCTCAGCTCCTCACGTGTGGAACCTCCTGGAATTCTGGCAGTCCCCGCTGGGAGCTGTGTGGCCTCTCCTGGCTGTCCCTTGCTCCCAGGTGTTGGATTTCCCTGGGATCCAGCCCAGTTTGGGATGAAGGTGCAGGAGCAGCCCCGGATCTTTGGGATCCGCCTCATCCAGCCCCACTCCATCATTCCAGGGATGCTGCTCCTGCCGTGGTTTTTAAAATTTAACTGGAATCAATCAATCCCAGCCTGGAGCCGGGAGGGAGAGGAGATTCCGGGGAGGCAGTGGGCTCCAAGGGGTGCAGCGGCGCGGCGCGTTTTAATTTCATTACCGCTCTATCACTTAATGAGCAGCAGCTCTGCTGGCTGGTCGTGCCCGGGAGGATTTTTTCCTCCTCGGGAGCGCTCAGGGCTGCTCTCGCCTGTGTCCCTGCAGAGGACGAGGCCGGGGGGCTCGGGGGGGTGGTCAGCACCATCTCCAGCAGCAGGAGCCCCCTGCAGCCCCCCGCCGCCGACGACGGGGAGCCCTTCAGCACCTACTTCGACAGCAAGATCCCCATCCCCGAGGATGAGACGGTGAGTGGGGAACCTGCTGGGGAGAACCTGGCCCAGGCACCCACCAGAGCCATTGCCACGGGCCCGGTTCCCCGGCCGGGCTGAGCCGGGAACGGAGCTGGGAGAGGGGCAGGGAGAGGGGCAGGGCTGGCCGTGCTTTGGGGGATGTGGGGGGGTTAATGATTGATCCCACGGGATTTGGCTCCAGCTTGGAGCAGCCAAAGAGCAGAGAAAGGCCTTGCACAGCTCAGGGAGGGGTCCGGGCTCTTTGTCCCCTTATCAGGGAGCAGGAGATGTGGCTGGCCTCGTGACGCTGTTCCCTCTGAGCTGTCCCCTCTGTCCC